TGGAAGAATACTGAAAGCACCATGGGCTGCCCATAGAACCAACAGATCTGTGTTGGAAAAAGTGCAGCCAGAGTGTTCCTTGGAGGCCAAGATAGCCAAACTTCGCCCCTCATACTTAGGACATATTGTCAGTAGGGACCAGTCGCTGGAGAAGGATATCATGTTTGGTAAGGTGGAGGGTCAGAGAAAAAGAGGAAGACCCCCAATGAGATGGGTTGGCCAAGTGGCAGCATCGATGGACTCAAGCATGGCAACAGCAGTGAGGTTGGCCCAGGATCAGGCAGTGTTTCATTGTGCTGTGCATAAGGTTGCTATGAGTCGGTACCAACTTGATGGCACCTAACAACAACAACTACAAGTATCCTGGTAGGGAGTCCTGGTATGGCACTGTGGGTTAATACTCAGGTCTGCAAGGTCTGTTTGAACAGCAAGATCGGTGGTTTAAGTTCACCAGCTACTGATCACAAAGCCTATACAGGGTCACTATGAATCGGAACTGAATCGATGGAACTTAATAACAACATGTTTTCTTCTTTATGATTGTTGTACTTTTGTGACTTTCCATTGTTTTGGAATATACCTGTCAATGCCAGAAATGCTTGATCTGTGTGGAATAAATCAGAATTTTTAAACAGGCTTTACTAAAACCAACTTGTCATTATTATTATTATTATTATTTAATTGTAAAAATGCACACATTGCAGGACTGGAAGTCGAGAAGTTAAAAAATAAAAAATTAGCCCTAAGTCTGTGTGAATTTTTGATGCTACCTCATGCTTCAGAATTCTTATATCCTTGTTGGTTAAGTGAGGATTAGCCAGATGGCCTTCAACATCTCTTCCAGTAACAAGAGCCCGGAATATGCAATGGCAAACATTGTAGAAATGTTGTTTTCGTGCAGTGATGGTAAATGTGGCCTGTCAGCTGCATGTTGTCTTGTTCAGTTCCTCAGATAATCATCTTGAGGACAAGGGTCTGTAGTTTCAGAGACGAAGGACACTGTGGCCAGCCTTTAATATATCCTAAATGTTACCAATTTCTAGTGAAATTTCACAAATAAAACTGGGACTGTAACCTTTTCGCTTTTAATGAAAATAGAGAACAAGCAAAGTAGATAACTGAAAGTAAACAAGGTGATTGCAAAGATCCCCCACTGATTACAAACAGGAGCATTCAGTGAGTAACAGCAATGAAGCCAAAGTAACTCGTTCCCACCTCCTATTAGACATCATTCTCCAAATTGTTTTTCACTGGGCCACCGGGTTCATTTGCAGTCTTGTTCAACTTAACTGAAAAAAACAGTCTAGTCTTTCAAGATGGTGCAAGTCAGTCCAAAGCCAAATGTAACTGTGGTGCCTTAGTCAACTGAAGCCTCCTGTTTGAGTCAAATTAACTCTCAAGGCCTGACAAGGAGCTGGCTGCAATTCAAGATAATGCAATGATTTGGGAAGAGAAGTAAAAAATGTGTAATAAGGATTTTAACCAAAAGTTGGCAACTCAAAAAGGGCTTTTCACAACTTGCACAAGCTTTAAAATAAAACAAACCAAATCTCTGAAAGCCTCTAGAACCATAGCTTTTACTCCTAGCTAGCAATTCAACCAAAACCATTTTTTTTTTTTTTTACTTGATAATATCATTATATAGGAAAGCCAGTTGCTGTGGAGCTAATTCTGACACACGGCACCTTCGGTTGTGTCAGAGTAGAGCTGTGCTCCCGAGGATTTTTAATGACTGCTTTTTCAGATCATCAGACCTTAGTTTTTTTTTTCTGAGACACCTCTGAGTGGACTCGAACCGTCAACCTATTGTTTGGCCACTAAGAGTAGTAACGTTTGTACCACCCAGGAACTCCAGTGAGAAGCTTGACTCCCAGATCCCCATCTGCAGTAGTAGCCTTTGAGACTCTAACAGTAATTTTGGGAAACAAACTTAGGAGAATAGTTGATCCAATGTTCTAGAAACACTCAGTATAGTCACTGATCCTAGACCCCACTGCCCTTTCTAAAGGTCCTTACAAGAATACTTACTTCACTTCCTTTTAAATGAACAACTAAAGGGTGAGCAGTGTTCTTTGCCTGGCTGCATTGCTGCTTTTCTTAAGTGCTGTCAAGTCGGTTCTGACTCATAGTGACCCTGTATAAGGTTTCTGAGGAACACCTGGTGGGTTTAAACTGCCAGCCTTGTGGTTAGCAGTTTAGAGCTTATCCTATAACAACACACTAGGATGGCCAGGGAAATGAAATTCTATAAAGTTGCTCGGGGCACCCCAAATAGCCTAGTGTTGAAAAGGAATAGTTCTCTTTTCTTTTTTTTTCTGTACCTCTCTCCCTTCCTCCATTCTGTCTTTACTTTATTTTGTTGCTGTTGTTTAGAATATACACAGCAAAAACACACCAATGTAACAGTTTCTACATGTAGCATATAGTGCCATTGGTAGCATCAACATGTGCAATTAATCTAACTTCCTTTTCTAAGGTGTTCCTCTTCCATTAACACAAACTCACTATCTCTTAGGTTCCCGTCCAGCCTTTTGAGTTGTTGTTGTCACTTTGATCCCATATGTTGTTGTTGTTGTCAGGTGCCATCG